CACCGGTTACTAATTTTCAAATACCAGGAGGCCAGGCCCAGGAAGGCGCCCTGCCAGACAGCTGCACTGCAGCAGTCTGATTATCTTCCCGGACAGCTGATCTGGGAGTGATTGAGGTGCACAACAGAAAGCCAGAGACAAGTGGCCTTCACCTGCTTCCGGGAAAGGCCGGAGTCATAGCCCCTCTCCTTCACCCTCCGCAGTAGAGAAAGAAACCACGGTAACAGCCCCTGCTAGGGCCGGGCTGAGCCAGGGGGAAGCAGCCAAGCTCTTCCTTGGAGCAGGGCAGCCCCTTTCCCGTGCGCCAGGTTGTGGCCCCCTGGCTGGAAGTGCAGTGAGGCAGTTCTAAAGGTGTCCCTTCATTGGACTGTTTGGGCGTCGGATACCTCTCCTGGAATTCTCCGGTGTCTTCTGTGTACAGCAGAGAAGAGATGGGAGGGCCAATCTCGTGTTTGGCTGTGCTGTGTTCTGGACACAAACAGGCCTCCTGGCTTGTTTGAGCCCCTGAGTTCTGGGTGAGCAGGGAGCCCTGCTTTGCTGGGAGCATTTACACTTTCCAGGACTAGAAGCTCCTTGTTTGCTGGTCTCAGATTCCCGTAGCTTCCAGAGAGACTGTTCCCGTTTTACAGATGAGGCCAGATTTTCAAATACCAGGAGGCTGGTGCTTGGGTCTCAGGCCACTCGGAAGTTGGGCATCCTATTGTCGGCATTGGGGACACCGCGCACCCTGCAGCCCTCCGCGGGATGGCCCAGAACTCCCAAATCTAGCCCAAGCCTCTTACTCCAGGGAACAGGTGGGTGAGACTGGGGGAATTAATCACAGGTGTCACGGCCCAGCGGGGTGCAGTTCTGCCCGCTGCAGTCACCTGACATCGCCGGATGTGGACCCTGAGACAGAGGAGGCCTTGGGGTCAATGGCTGCAGGCAAAAGTGGGCTGGTAAGTGCTGACGTTGACGGGACCTGATTTGCAGAACTTGCCAATTTCTGTGGTGTAAGTCTTCCCAGTATTTCTTTTTTTCCTTTTTTTAATTTAGAGAATATTAGTTTCTGTAATCAAACCCACGTAGATAAGACCTTACATATTTAATACAGTGCATTGCCCCTGTACAAATGGAAAAAAAAATTAACATTTCTAGACCAATATGGCTATTAATTTCTGTACAGTGCCAACTCAACACAGTAAACGGATAACTTTTTCCAAAGTTGACAGCACAGTTTCCAAAAATTCAAATTTATATATATGTATATATATATATGTATATATATATATATATATATATATATGTGTGTGTGTATGTATATATATATTTGTATTTACATGGAAAGACCAATAATAGCACCTTCCAGTATTGATATGCACTTGATGGCAGCAAAAGTGGAGCTGGAAAAAGGCACCCAGGATCAGCTTTCACAAGCGGTGTGCCACTCCAGTGCACCACTGCCTGTAGGAGAACGTCAGCTCAGCTGCAGGCATGAGAAAGGCCAATCCATAGCTCAGTGGTTCCATCACCTGCCTCACAAGCACAAGGACCTGAGTTCAATCCCTGGTACCAGAAAAAAGGCCCATGTTGGCACATGCTGGAGCTGTTAGTGGCCCTTCAGCACCATCCCCATGGGGGTGCTGTGGATGCACCTCTATCCCCCTTATCCATCTGTTGTTAGATGTAGGCTTCCCCCTTCCCGGTAAAACAGCTCTGCTCCACCAAGGTGGCTCTTGGAGAGCACCTCTAGCCAGTGCCCACACTCCCAGCAGCCGGGGGAAGAGTCCCCAGTTCTGCAGGGCACGTGGGCTGTGCATTACCACATCTGAGTCACCAGCCTGCCAGTAGCAGGGCTGTGATCCAGTCCAGGTCCGCCTCAGCAAGTCGTCTCACTCCAAGTCACTCCCATAGGACAGATCCACCATGTCTGCTGTGGAGATCCCCAGGGTTAAGGTGGCAGAAGGCCACGTGTGTCTAGATTGGAACCAGTGGGATTCTTGGATTTACCTCTGGGAATTGGGGGTACATGTGTTCCTCCCTGTCTTTCCCTGTTCTCTGTTCTGCTCTGCTCCCCAACACCAAGCCTTCCTCATGTCCCCTGGGGATGAGGTTGGGTGGCACCCTCTTCCTCTCAATTCCCAATCCCCAGACATGTAGCCCTGCTTACTCTCTCTTCATTGGCAGGAGACTCTTTGCTTCTGTCTGGCCCTTCTCTTGTAGTTCCTGGCCCCTCTTGGTGCTTGGTAAACATTGGGTGATGGAAGGATGAATGGACCAGTGGCTGAGTGAGTGTAGTAAGGGTCTGGTTCCTAGGTCTCCAACTTCATTGTCTTAGGTGCTGTTACTTCCTGTGCGAAACTTCATGTTTCCACCTGGGACTGGCGAATCACTGGCGCTGGGCCCAAGCCCTCCATGTCTCTACTCACAGAAGAGCTAACCTTGCTGTGGTACCACTCAGAGATTGAGTGGGTGTGGAGCCAGTGTTCTGGCATAATCAGTGCATTTGATAAGGATTTTTCTTGGGTGGTTGACTTCTTGGAAGAGTTCTGCTTGTTACATTCTCTTATGGGGAAATGGGAGTCTTAGAAATTAAGAAAACAGTGCAAAGTAACTGCAAGGTTAAAGAATTCCGGCGAATGGTAAGTATAGAGTGATATTTGCATTACACACATGGGTAAGCACCACAAGCAAGCAGCATTTTTGGAAGACCTAGATCAAGTCATCCCCCTCCTCCATAGTTCCAGATGCTTCACTTCCTACATGGGTGTGTGGGATCTTGGGGGTACCCTTGCTTCTGCGACCAGGGTCCTGGCCATTTCTGTGATGTATAGAACACAGCCTCTGCTCTGCAATTATTCTTTTGATGAAGCAACCCTCATTTCTAGGGTTCCTTCCCAGGTCCTGCAATCACTGACCCTAGTCGATAGTATACCCGAAGAAACAAGCCAAGAGCTGCCCTAGACGTCCCTTAGTGTGCACACGCATATGCATGCACACATGTGGTCAGAAGTTCAAGTCCAGCCAGGGCAACTTAGTGGCTTAGCGAGACTCTATCTCAAAAATAAAAAATAAAAAGGGCTGGGATATAATTCAGTGCAAAGGCCCTGTGTTCAATCCCCAGTACAAAATACAAAGACAAAGCAATGGTATGTATTGCTTTTTCAGCAAACTCACAGAAATATTAGGATGTACATTTTCCTAGAGCGTGATGAATAACATGATTGTTTTTTTGAGGGAGATGGGAAAATGGATTTCAAAGTCATTTTTAAAGAAGAATTGTATCTCTTCAAAAGGGATTTTGTCTTTGACAAAGAACTCAGATTTGCAGAGTTGGGAGCTCAGAGTTTAGATACCCAGTACTGTAAAATAGGATGGATGACGTGGTACTCATTATTTCAAAATCTGGCCAAACAGACGTCAACAAAATTTAATTCATTCAAATAACATACTGTGTGTGAGCTTCCAGATCTAATGGATGAAATTTATACCTCTTGAATCTTCATAATGAAAATTCAGGGACAAAAGATTAAAAAAAATTAGTCGTATTACTTATGTATGAAATGAATACAAAGATTCAAATACATAAGACGTTTTCATGCTGTTTGTACAGAGATTGTTTTGTGTGTCGTGGGGAAGGCTGGTGTACAGAATCCTGGTGTCTTCCCTGAGATCTGCTCAGTTTGGGCCTCTCAGAGAGGCGTCCCCTCACATGCAGCGCCGATGTACGGAGCTCAGAGGCATAGCATGCACGCCCCTCTCTTAGCCCCGTAATTAGGCAATTTTTATGTACGAGGCGGTTGGTGACACACACACCCGCGTCACTCTGACCTTTCTCCCGTTTACCTGCAGCGAGTGGTATTTTGGGAAGTGACTTTTCTCTGTGAGTGACAGAGTCACCCTGCTCACCCGCTCCCTGGTGCCCCGGGCGCCCTCAGGAGCAGGAACCCTGGGCCCCGTCACAGTGCCCCCACTGCAGTCCCCAGCTCAGAAATGCCAGGGCATCTCTCCGATGGCCTCTATGGCACTGGGGTTTTGTTTTCAATAGCTGATGGCGTGTAACTCCTAGAGCCGGGCTGGGCATCACAGAACTACGTTTCCTCTCCAGAAGGGGTGTGGGTGGAAGGGGAGTCCCCAGGCATGGGTCTGGAGGGCCCAGAGGCCTAGAAATGCTTTGTCCCTGGCCCCATCACCTCTTGTACTGAGTAGGATTTTGCAAACTTTGTTAGTAGAAAATGCTTCGTGGTGTTGGCTGTATGTAAGGTGTGGTTTTTAGTTAATGATCAGACTTTTTAAGACAAATATCCCACACCGTTTGTGCTATAGTAAATACTTATAAGGTGACTGCCACAGTAAGCAGTTACTGCTCTTCCTGTGCCCAATTCAAATCCTGGGGTCTCAGGCACCCCCAGCCGGCCTGGCACTCTGAAAATTAGAAGGGAAGATGAGCATAGTGAGGAGATGGTGACCAGTTTGGCTGGACCTCCATGTCATGGGCAGGAGGCAGGGCCTGCTCAGTGACCCCCCCTGAGTGGAGGGCAGGTGGCACAGGTCACTAGGCTCCAGCACAAGTACCTGTCCAGCGTAACTGGTGCGCACGCCAGCTGCTAGCTGGCAGGTCAGAACTCTGCCCTGGGCAGGTGAGGAAGCCGCAGGCCGAGGCCCATCCGCAAGGCCATACAGCCTGGAGCACTGACGTTGTGGGTAGATTTCGTGCTTGGAAATGGCTCCAAATTCTTTGGGGCCAAATCTAACAACACAGTGGATAGTCACACTGAGGAAAATAGCACTTGGGATCAAAAACAATGTAATTGCTATAAAAACCCACTATATGGCTTGAAATGGACTCTGGCGGTAATTCTGAAAATAATCCAAATAAGGCCAAAGCAGCGACAGCCCCCAGGAAACACGCATGTGGCTTCTCAGTGGCTGTTGGGAACACTTGCAGGGAGGGGGAGGGGTGCGTGGCGTTGATGGTCCCTGGGTGGCCACACTCACTGACCTGTGGTTCTCCTTTCCAGGCCAGGGACCAAAGGCCGCACCCAGCCCTGCCGTGCCCTTGGCACCCGTGACCTGAGGACCTCTTCTGTCTCTGCAGTAGGCCGAGCCTGTCTGTTCTAACGGGGCAGTCTCAGCCTTCTCTGCCAGGTTGACCTGTTGGCCTCCTTCGAGACTCAGCTTGACCTTCCCCAGTGAGAGCTCCTCTTCTCTCTGCCCTTGTGGCATGTGTGTGACTCTCTGCTAGGTAGACTCTCGGCAGGGTCATGATTTGTTTGCGTTTCACCTGTCCCCAGTCATGTCCCTGTGTTGTGAGATCTTCAAGGCAGCTTTGCCTTGTACAGTGTTTCCAATGCTCTCCACAGAGGAGATGTGAAATCATTGTGTGCTTGTGAATGGCTGATCCAACTGGGGTGTCCTTCAGTGTCCTTGCTGACACATGTCCCTCCAAACTCAGGGCCATGCAAAACTAGAAAGCCGCTAGAGGAATTCATTCTGCGATCACCGCCTGGTTGGGGAACAGCACACGACACACGGTTTGCCTACCCTGGTAACTGTGCATATCTTGGGCTTGTGCTCCACCGGTGTGTGGCTGGCACTGTAGGTGGTGCCTCAGGTCTGTAGAACAGGTTCGCTTAAAGAAATCCACGTCTAGGTCTGTGTTATAACAATCCTGCTACAAATACTCCTGTTTAAGTGTGATACATAACAAGTCGTGTTTGAAAGTCAGTGACCAAAAGGATAATGCCGCAGAATAAAAAGGAACTAACAGTGGAAAATTAGAGAGTGGCTCAGAACAGCCTCTAGTCTCAATTAGCTGCATTTCCTTGTCTTCCATCGCCTGGTCTTGGAGAGTGATTCAAGGAGAAGCCTGGGCCTGCAGCCCGTCGCAGTGCTGCTTCTGGTGTCCTCAGTTACACAGTAATGATAATCACCGAGGGAGGAGAAGGCTCAAGAGACACCTGCTTCCAGCTCTTGAGCCTGGTAATCCTGGGGGAGGAGGGTTGCGGAGAGGGACCCTTGACCTGGAATGATTGTTGGAGAAGGAGATGAAGGAGGGGCTTTCTCCCACTGAATTGTGGAGGCTGAGGCTGGGAAGGCCACCGCAGAGGGACGTTTGAGACACAGCAGAAACCCATTCTTCACATTAGTCTGCTTGCCACCTAAAATGCCTGGTTTTAATACCTAGGGCTGGGAATCTGGGGCTCAAGATGGAGCACATTCTCATCCATAACTGGACTTCCAGGCTTCCGTCGAATGTGGCCATGGGCAGAGTCCTCCTGAGTTCTCTTTGGATGCCTTTAGCTTTTCTGAAATAATAAAGGCAGAGGAAAATTCTTCATGCTCCTCAAGATCTAGATTCTTTTTTCCACTCTTTGGACATGTTTTGGCTAATGGGATGTCAGCAAAGTGACTTAATATCACCCTGAAGGCTGTGTAGTGATTGTATCTTGGGGTTTGCTTGGTCTTTCTCCTTTTGGAGATACTGCAGCTGCCACTGTGTGAACCAGCCAGGGATGGCCTGCCAGGAGATGAGCACCCCACGCCCAGGTACCCCTGGCACCCAGCCTGTTGTGAGGCCCCCAATTAGCATTGCCAGCCTGAGCGGTCACACAGGTCAGTGGAAGAGCCCGCGGCTAGGGTCAGCCCCCATTTCCAACTACTGAGTAAGAAGCTACATACTTTACTGCTGAGTTTGAAAAAAATTTATTACTTATTCTACATTGACAACTTATAACCGTGCACTTAAAGGTCACAAAGTGATGTTACAATTTATGAGTACAGTATGGAATAATGAAGCTAGTTAGCCCATCCGTCACTTCAAAACTTAATGCTTTTTATAGTAAGAACACTTGATATTTACTCTTAGCAGTTTTGAGGTGTACAATACCCTGTGATCAGCCATCTTCGCCACACTGGACTATAGATCTCACAAAAAATAAACAAGCCTGGTGTTCCTGTGTAACTAAGATGTTGTACCCTTTGACCATTGTGTCCCTCCTTCTGCCGCCCCAGCCCAACCTCAGTAACTACCCTTTTACCCCCTGCTTCCGTGAGTACCGCTGTAAGTGAAGACAAGGAACATTCGTCTTTCATGCCTGGCTTATTTCACTTAGTGTGATATTCTCCATCCATGTTGTTGCAAGGGAAATTTCCATGTTGTTTTACATTTAAGTGTTTTAAAAATCACATTTATTTTAAAACTGATATATAGAAACAGAAATCATGGTACTGACGGGGAGCCATGTGATATTTCAATACATGTACATGTTGTATAATGTTTAGATGAGGTTAAACACATCTGTCATCTCAGACATCCATCACTTCTCTGTGGTGAGTATTACTCATTCCTTTTTATGACTGAATAGTATTCCATTTCCTTTATCTGTCCATCTACAGACTGTCATAGGTTGATTCTAGAGCTTGGCTATTGTGAATAATTTCACAACAAATATGGGAATGCAAGCATCTCTTCAACAAATGGATTTCAAATCTTTTGGGTCAAAACCCAGGAATGAGATTGCTGGATGCTATGTTAAGTCCGTTTTTAGCATTTACATTCCCACCAGCAGCATTCTCTTTTTCCCACATCTGCACCAACACTTTTTAATCACAGCTGCTCTGACGGGCACGATACCTCACTGTGGTATCAGTTTACATCTCTCTAATGATGCTGATGGTGAGTATTTTCTCATACATCTGTGGGCCACTCTTATGTTTTCTTCTGGGAAATGTCTACGCAGGACCCTTCCATTTCTTTAATTGGGCCTGTTGCCTACTGAGTTGTCCAAGTGCAGTATATATTTTGGATATTAATCCCTGATCAGTTGTATGGCCTGGCGTGCAAATATTTTCTCCCAATCTGAAGGTTGTCTCCACAGACTGACATCTGTTTTCTGTGCAGGAGGTTTTCAGTTTGATGTAATACAATTTGTCTATCATTGCTTTTTTTGCCTGAACTTTGGGGATCAAATCCAAAAAACTCATTGCCTAGACCTATGTCATATAGTTTTCCCTGATAGCTTCTTCTAGTAGATTTACAATTTCTGGCTTAGTGTTTAAGTTTTTATTCAGAGTTGATTTGTCATGTGGCTGAGATAAGGGTCCAAGTTCCCTCTTCTATATGTGAATATCAAGTTTTCCCAACAGATTTTTGAAGAGATTATCATTTTTCCCATTGAATATCACCAATCCCTTTGTCAAAAGTGAATTGATGCATGTGAGTTCATTTCTGGGCTCTCTGTTTGGATCCTTTAGTTGATAGATTTTTTTTCCACTATTATACTTCTTAAATTACTATAGCTTTGTAATATAGTTTGACATCAGGTAGTGTGATATTTCCTTTTTGCTCATGATTACCTTCTCCATTCAGGGTTTGTTTGTAGTTCATTATGAAGTTTAGAATTATCTTTTTTATTTCTATGAAAAATGACACTGAAATTTTGATAAGGTTTGCACTGGATGTGTAGATCACCTTGGATGCTATGGATGTTTTGACAATATTGATTCTTCCAATCCATGAGCATGGGATATCTTTCCATTTATTTAGGTCTTCTTTAATTTCTTTCATCAACATTTTGTAGCTTTCAGGGTATAGGTCTTTTATTTATCTGGTGAAATTTAGTTCTAAAATTTAATCATTTTGTAGCTATTGCACACGTGGTTGTTCTCTTGATTTCTTTTTCAGGTAGCTCACTGTTAGTATAGGGATGTTCCTGATTTTTGTGTCCTGTAAGTTTACTGAATTCATTTTTCAGTTCGAATGGCTCTTATGTGGAGTCTTTGGGGGTTTTCTGTGTATAAGATCATGTGATCTGCAAGCAGAGACAATTTAACTTCCTCCTTCCCATTTGAATGCCTTTTATTTTTTCTCTTGTCTAATTAGAGAAGATCAGTGGAGCTGAGAGCACACGGGCTTGCTGTATTTTTGTTTGCTGCTCACTCTTCCTCAATGTTCTTTTCTGCCTTGCCAAGATGCTGATCTTGCTCCTCCTGCTAGTTCAAAGCCTGCTTCTTCTGAGAGGCCTCCCTGACTCCCAGTGTGCACAGAATTTAACTCAAATTACACTGCATCCATCTGCTTCCCCCACACTCAGCTCAGAAGGGCAGCATGGGCTGGATGGAATCACAGACGGATCGGCGTTCAGGGGAGAGGAGCTCTCTGCCTTACCTGGAGGTCAAGCGAAGGGGCTGTGACAGGGGCACCCGTGATGGGCTGTCCCCTAGCTCGCCTTGCAGCCACAGCCTTGGCCATATGTTTACCTCAGCACATGGAGCTGCCCAGTGCCTTGTACTTTAGGGCGTGAGTTGGGATTTCCCCTTCTCTACAGGCTTCTGCACTCCATCCCTGCCCTCTCCCAATGTGCAAATCCTTTCTGTCCCCTACAGACCCAGCTCTGGGTTCCTTGCCTTTCTTCTGCCTCCCTCACCTGGCCATATGGTAAAAAAAAGAAAAGTCAATCATGGAGACACTGTGAGTTATGGAGCCTCATACGGGGTCCAAATCTCAGCTTGGTCTTATGAGCTATGTGTCCCCATGCTGGCAAGTTCTGTCTGAGCCCCAGTTTCTGCTTCTATAAAGTGAGGGCACCCATCTGCTCTGGAAAATTGTTGTGAGGCTAATGAGCATCTGGCACACAGTAGGTGCTCAATAAGTGAAAGACTGCTCTTGGGCCTGGTTCTCCATGTCACTTTTCAGAGCCTTGGGTTCCCCACTGCAGATACGAACTGCAGAGAGTGGGGGTTGGGAGGATTTAATGTGTGACTTCACAGTGCTTTTAAGGCTTCCCCTTGTCATGCTATCGTTGTTGTTATTTATTTATTTAGTCCACTCCACTCTTCCTCAGTGTTGTCTGCTCTATGTGAATGGTGGTATGCGTCTCCTCCCCATAGCTCTGGCTGCTGCACCCTCTCTGTGCATGTTCTTACCTCATTTCCCCACTGTGCCCCGATGCCCAGCAAGTACACAGATGCCACATCTCAGGCTGGTTGGCCCTCTATGCTTGCACTGTACAGCTGAAACCCGTCGCTACCACTGGCCCCCCAAGCATCATCTGTACTCTGTTGGAACCAGAGCAGGGGCAACTGTAGTTTAGCAGGGTGTTGGGCGGTAGCATGCAGCATGCACAGGAAAGGCTTTGTTTTGTGTATGTGGTACTGGGGATTGAACTTGGTCCTTGTGCTTGCAAGGCAGGTGGCAGAACCACTGACCTAAATCCCCGGCCCAGGAAAGGCTTTGTGATTCAAGCCCTTGTGGGCACCACTGGGTGGATGGATGGTGCTGACCACTCGTAGGCAGACGGTGGTGCAAGGGAGCTACAAGAGAAGGGAGGATGCATTTGCATGTTCCACTTGTGCTTTCCATTATATGCTTGCCCAACAGTAAATGATAAAAAGATCCAAACAAGGCTGAAAGAACTCTTCCGGTGAATATAAATTTCTAAGTGAAAAGAAAGCATTTTATAATGACTTAATTTGCTGCATTTTCCCTTCCTTTCTGCCAATATATAAAATACTAGTGCTTCTTACCTTGATTTGAATAAAATGTGGTCTTTCTGCCTTGAGGGCTTCATGTGTGGCCTTCTGGGCCATGTGTGGATTCCTTTGGACTGTAAACCCAAAAGGGAATTGTGGGACATCTAATTTGATTAAGTGATGCTGTAGCTCACTGTGTCACCAGCACTTGGCCTAACTCCACTTTCTAATTTTTGCCAACCTCATATATGCAAAGTGATTTTTGTTTTGAGTATCATTTCACTGATTACTAATGTAGCTTGTACTTGCTAAGTCTTGTTTTCTTCCTGTTCTTTATTTTTGTCCATTTTTCTATTCTGCTCTTTCTGATCCATCTGCAGTGATTTCTTGCATATTCTGGATACTAACCCATTGCTGGTGTAGACCCTTCGAATGTACTTCCTTTTTGTTCCTGAGATTTTTATAAATTGCCCTGTGCCTTCCCAGATGCTGGCTAATTTCTCAGGCTGATGGGGATGTGACATAAATTAACTTTGCCACATGATCATTCTGCTATGCCCAGCCCCTCAGTGTGCTTTGCCTTCCCCAGAGTGACCTGCATTTTAGTGAATGCCACACCAGCTCAGAAGACCCACCTTCAGCCTCTGTCAGAGGCCAGAGCTATGCAGCATTGTGTTGTTTAGTGCCAGCACTGTGTCTGCACCCTGGTGTCTCAGTCAAGCCAGCTAGCATTTCTAAGCCCCAAGAAGACATTAGGCTCTGGGATCCTGGAGACAAATAGGCA